TGGAGGAGGCTGTCTTGCCACAACAACTGGCGCAGGCAACCCAGGAGGACAGGCTGCTGAGCACCCTCAACGCTAAGATTGAGGGAATGTTTGCGAACCTGGCCAATAACCTGGTTGCCAGACTGGGCGTCAAGGAAACGAATGCGCCGTTGGTCGGCCAAATACCAACCGAGAAGGCTAAGCCACCAGTCGTAAAGAATGCCATATCGGCTCCAAGGGAGGCGACCAATGCGAAGAGTGGCAAAGGGGACCAGAAAACGGGGGGTAAGGGCGAGAGGAAGGGAGCAAAGTCAGCTCCTAAGCCCAAGCCCGAGCCCAAGTCTAAACCCGCGCCCAAGCCTACGTTCGCTGAAATAGCGAGAGAAAAAGCCGCTGGAAACAAAACCGGAGCTGCGGGAGGGAAAAGCTCGCACCCCGGAAACAAGAAACCAGCAGGAGGAATCACCCCTGCCCTAAATAAAGCCACTAGACCTGCCGATCAGTCGACGTGGACTGTGGTGAATAAAAAAAGCAAGGCGGTTAAAAGCGGGACACAGCCTAAGGTAAATGGCAATAAGGCTGGCAATGGGGCTCCCCTCAAGCCAGTAAATAAACCTGCCACGGCTGATAAGAAGACGGGAAAGAGGAGACCGCCATAGAGTGCGGCGGTCACTCTTACGAGCCTCGAGAGAAATTACGAGGAGCTCCTTCGAGAGGTCCGCACCAAGATAAATCTTGAGGAACTCGGGTTCACAGCGGGCCTAAAGCCTAAGAGAGCCTAGACCGGAGTAGGATAGGTTAACCAAATTGTTTGAAGGCCGCCCAGAAGTCAGGATCACCAGGCCTAAAAAAACTAGTAAACTTAAAATTCTTGATATTGAAGATTCAGTGACGGGGATGGAATTGACGGCAACGGTAGCGGAGAAGGGAGGCTGTACGCTAACCCAAGTTCAGGTTGGCCCCATACGGCGGGGCACCAACGGTCTAAATACGGCATGGATCAGGTGCCCGCTTGCGGCACACAACGTTATCCAGAAGGATAAGAAGCTGCAAGTGGGCTGGTTCATGGTCCGAGTGCAGGCGCTCGAGTCACGCCTCCTCCAGTGTTTCAAATGTCTGGAGGGAGGTCATGTGCGAGCGCAATGCACAAGTGCCGTCGACTGCAGCTCCCAGTGTTACCGATGTGACGGAATCGATCACTTAGCACGGAGCTGCGGCGCAACACCCAATTGTTTCGTTTGCGCGGACAAGGGTAGGCCAGCGGGGCATCGCGCAGGTGGGAAAGCCTGTACCTCCGCAAAGGGGAAGGTGAAACCCAGGATGGCGGCGGGACCGGTGAAACCTAGGTCCACAGCGAGTAGAGGTATAGAGGGGATAGAGGTGGAGGAAAACCCCGAGACCTTTCGTCCACTCCCCTCAGAATCAGCAACATGGAGGCGGTGACCTTCCCGGTTGCAAACAAACAACCGGTTAAAAGATCGGCTCCAGTTGCTGGAAATAATGGAATTGGAGAATAGACCTCTACCCTAAAGAAGGAGGAAAAACGGGGGAAAGGAAATGGTGAGCCGGTAGACACAGCAGCAGCTGCAGCTGCCACCGCCGCCGCAACCAACCCCAGCGCTAGCATCCGTGATTATCGGGGAACCAACAATTGTCCTGGAACCCGTGGTGACTCAGGATGTAGAGAAAACCAGCACGGAAATACCAGTGTCGGGACAGATGACCCCACTGCCGACGCCTGCCTCAATCACAGAACCTTCAACAGAATTTGAAGGAACCTTGCCAGAATTGAAGGATCAGCAGCCTGCAGATATTCCTCCAGTAGAAACTGGGGACGGTGCTGGGGGTGAGGACTCCGATGAGTATTACTAAAAATGCCCCCACACCGATTCCTACAGGCCAACTTAAATCGTAGTCCCGCTTCGCGAGACGTGTTCTTACACACGATGGCGGAGCGGGGCTGTGGCCTGGGAGTGGCTGCTGAGCCGGGTCGTCTGCCACCGAATACCCCTTTGTGGGCGGTGAGTCGGTGCAACCTGGCAGGAGTGACATGGAGGCAGACCAGCAAGCCCGTCGCCTGTTCCCGAGTTGAGGCAGGTGACGGGTTCGTATTGGTCAGATGGGGCCACATATATGTTGCCAGGGTATACATTTCCCCGAGACTGCGTGTGGCGGACTTCAAGGAGGTTCTAGGGAACCTAAGGGTTGCTCTGGCAAAGTTCCTGCCCTGCCCAATGATAGTGGCCGGGGATTTCAATTCCAATTCGGAATTGTGGGGCTCCCCGACCACTGGCGGCAAGGGCAAGATCCTAGAAGAGTGGGCGGCTGGCCTGGGACTAGTTATCCTAAACCGCGGAAAAGTCCAGACCTGTGTGAGGGTCCAGGGGAGATCCATCGTTGACCTAACGTGGGCAACCCCCTCTGTCGCTCGCCGGGTGGAGGGATGGAAGGTGACCAGGATTGAGACTCTCTCGGATCATCTTTTCATCGAGATGAGTCTTCCGGCCACGCTCCCGGAGGTCCGGGCCCGCCGCGGGGAAACTGAAAAGCGCTTTCCCCGCTGGGCCCACAGGAGGATGGACGTCGACATGTTGCGGATGTCCATCCATACCTCCCTGTGGGTCGATGATTTCGCTACTACGGTGGCCGAGGACGTGGATGGTGCTGCTAAATGAATCGGGGACGTTATGCATGCGGCGTGTGACGCCAGCATGCCCCGGTCCAAGCCTCATCCACGCAAAGCGGCGTATTGGTAGACGGAGAAGATCGCCAAGCTAAGGCGCTCCTCCGTCCACGCGAGGCGTCGATGGCTGCGGGCCAGAAAAAGCCGGCACCAGCGACAAATAGAGGAAACGAGAGTAGAGTATCGCTCCGCCAAGCAGCTCTACTCCAACGCTATAAAGAGGGCCAAGGACCACGCATGGCAGGAGCTCCTCGAGGCCCTGGACGAGGATCTGTGGGGGCGCCCTTACAAGTTGATCCTCAACAAACTCAGGACTTGGGCGCCCCCGGCGACGGAGTCCATGTACCCCGAATTTCTGGAGGAAGTAGTGGGAGCCCTCTTCCCAGACGATCCTGGGGAGAGAGTGCTCAACGGTTCCGCTCCACCTCCACCTCTAGAAGTGAAGTGGAATAAAGAGTTCGGGGTCTACATGGACGACTTGAAGAAAGCCGCCAAACGGATCAAGTCAGGGAAGGCTCCGGGGCCCGACGGAGTTCCAGGGAAAGCGTGGGTCCTGGCTACCGGGGAGCTGGCCGGGCGCTTGTGCGAGGTGTTCACAATGTGCCTCAAGCAAGGCCGGTTTCCCCGGACTTGGAAGACGGCTCGTCTGGTCCTCATCCCAAAACCGGACAAGCCCGCCGACCAACCATCGGTATACAGGCCGATATGCCTGTTAGGCGATGGTTCGGAAAGCTATTCGAGAGAATTCTCGCTGACCGAATCGTCCAGCATCTGTCCCGGACTGGGCCTGATTTGTCACAGGCCCAGTTTGGATTCCGGGAGGTCAGATCGACTGTGGATGCGATCTTATTCATTCGGGCCCTCCTGAAGGCGGCGATGGAGGCCGACAGGGTGGTGTTGGGCGTTAGCTTTGATGTAGCTAATGCCTTTAACTCCTTGCCGTGGCCAGTGATAAAAAGGGCGCTAAATCACCACGGCGTTTCTCCTTATCTAAGGGCAGTCATACATGACTACTTCCGGGACAGAAGGCTCTTGTACACCGACCGCGATGGTGTAGTAAGGGTCGGGTTGGTCGTGCGGGGGGTTCCACAGGGGTCAGTACTTGGCCCACTTCTGTGGAACCTAGGGTATGACTACCTCCTCCGAATCGCCCTCCTCCCGGGATGTTGGCTAAACGGCTTTGCCAATGATACATTCCTGGGAGTCGAGAGTAATACTTGGGATGAGGCCCGAGCAAAGGCGAATGTCGCAGTGAGGGCAATGGTGGCTACGATGCGCAAGTTGGGCCTTAGGGTGGCCCCCCAGAAGACGCAGGCTGTGTTTTTCTACTACAAGTCTGCGGGAAAGCCGCCCGTGGCCCATATAGAAGTGGAAAGAACCCGTATCTCCGTAGGGGCCAGCATAAAAGTGCAGTACCTCCGGAACACCCCCTGCACAGAGATCCCAAGTTTAGGTCTCTGCTACATAGCCTGTGGAGGGGATCGGCTGTGGAGGGGATAGGATCGCGTCACGTGACGCTGACGCACACAAGCCAAGCGCCCCGTGTACATGTGCGCTCAGCGCTCGGCCAGCCTCGGTGAAGGCCTAATGGGCCCGGCGTCGGGGGTGATCCGAAAGTGATAATAACAAGTTTCCGGACACCCTCTAAAGACGCAGAAACAGGCATTCTTGGGGTTTTAGTGGGTAGGCTGCGCGTGTCTTTGGACACGAGTGGAATCCCACACTCCCCTCGCTCTTCTCACCAGGAGGGCGAGAGGGTCTTCCCCTCTGACATCCGGGGGGCTACTGGCTGAAACCGGGCTTATAGCCCGGGATTCCAGTAGTAGAAGATTTCCCCAAGTTAAAAAAGAAAGGGGACCTTAAAGGGCGTTTTAAAGAGACGTACCCAACCCTAACCTCCAATTCATCCACTACCTTACTGTTTTCTTTTTTGGACCAACGGTTTAACGTCTCTTTCAAAAGACGGAGCTTAGTTTTTTTCGCATCTTGCACGGAGGGGCGCGGTTTTTTCGGAAAAAAACTTTTCCATGATTCATGGCTCTAGTGGACTCGAACCTGGTTCCTCAGATTACGAGTCTGGCGCTCTACCACTAGACCACACAGCCGCCCGTTTTTTTTAATTTTTTTTATTTTTAATATTTTTGGCTAAAAATTTACGTGTATATTCTTGAAATATAGTAGAATCAAGGTATGGGTCAAATTGACCCTGTGTGTTCTCTAAGGGTTAAAATAGTTATTGGTGTAAATATATAATAAAAATTTTGCTAAAAAATAACACTTTATTTTAATTATTGCAGAAAAGTATTATAATTTACCAAATATACTTGAATATTTTTAATGTTTACCAGTATCTTTATTTATTTTAGCAATATATTTATTGTAATACAGCACACTATATTAATTACAATATGTGTGCAGCTGATACTACACGTTTTCTATATTTACACACATTAATTCTATCTTCTTAGATTATATTTAACATTACATATAACTATACGAAATATCTGTTAATATTTCAACAACTTACGACTGTTTAGTCTTGCGCAATTTAGACACAATGCGACTATAATAAAAATTAATGAGTAACTTTATTGCAAAGAATATACTTAACAATATTATTAAAAGATTAAAAACAAGAAATACGTAGATATCAATCAGATTTTGAACCACCCAGCTCTGAGATCTCAGCGACGTTGCTAAACTTCTATTTGGATGACGGACGGTATATTCAATGCTCCAAACAGCTAAATCTAATGGCGGTATTGGCCGATCCCGGAATTCGTAGGATAATCGTTTCATGTTTCTTGTATAACTGCACAAAATATTTTAATGATATAATAAAAACTTATATCTGAACTAAAAATATAACTGTATATGAGAAGACAAAGTAAAAACAAAAAAGTATAAAAATTCTGAAACATTATTCTTTTAACATAATTTTTATATAAATTTATACAACTAATGGATCTATGCTAATTTAAACATTATTGAATATAATTATATTGTATTACTAAAATTATATTTATTTCTAAAATAATAATTGCTATAGATGTATTAAAATACTCGAAATATGATACCTTTTATTGTAAAGTATTTCTTCAATCGCGTGTAATACTGACTGCGTGGACAAAGTTTTAATATCCAAACGAATACCAACACCTTTAGCTACTATTATTGCTGCATTGGATTTTTGATCCGAAAAGACAGGTGTAACAATTATTGGTACACCTTCCCAAATGGCTTCTTGCGTGCCAAAGATACCACCATGCGCCCAGATTGCTTTAACATTTTTATGAGCTAAAAAAATATATATTATAATAAATTTTAATTCTCAACTATTATCATCTGACATTAATATATAAGCATTTCATTATCTATAAAAATCTCAGTTAAATAAATACAATGTACTTTTCAATAAATAAATGTTGTTATCTGTAAATTATTTTTAAATAATTTACAGATAATAGCAAAAAATAATATTTTTATTATAAAATTTTATTATACAAAGAAATTATAAAATTATTGTAACTTGGAAACTAGAATAATCTTGAGTGTAAAAAAACTTATGAAAGAAAATAAAATTGTTCAGGCACTAACGATTGGTGTTAAGCGGTTAGTAAAATAAAATAATTTTTTTTTTAATATCTGCAATATTTGAAAAAAAAATATAACAAAGAGGAATAAGCTAAATATTTAAAATTATTCGGATAATTAGGATGATCCGGATGTTGAATGGAACAGAAATTAATTTAACTTATAATGTTCTGTAAATTTTTTAATTAAAAATTTTACTTTAACAACGTAAATAGTGACACTCCAGGTTGAAGTGGTGATTCACTCCCTTGGATTAAATTTTCACTATAATCTCTTTAAGGAGAGTTTACTGTAAAGAGTCAATATGATTATTCTATTTAGAGTAAAATTTTACTCCAGAAAATTGTGAAAGTATGCAATAAAAATATAATACATTTAATATATGTATATATAATAATCTGTTGACATCAAATTATGTTAACGTATTTAAATTTTGATTTATTTTTGTAATTACAGTTAATAAGCCGAAAAGTGAATAGTTTAAAATAATTAACTATTTTTCTTAAATTTTCAATTCCCGCATTTAAAACGGTTTTATAGCTTTCCCGATTATTCGCATTTTAGAAGATATTTTGGATATTTGGGTATTTGAAAAACAAATCATAAATATTTTATGACGAATTGTTCAGAGTGTTCAGACATTCGAATATTCGGATATCCGGATAATCTCAGCGCCACTATATAGATAATTAAATAAATTCAATGTAAAAGAAACTAATTTTGCTTTCTCATAGAGGAAGCTTTGTTTTCATAAACTTTGTATATGGACCTTTGATCGCATATGAAGCTAGAGCTAATCAACCAAATTTTAGAATTATATATGAAATAGGGGTAAAAAACACCAAAGAAAAAATTGTTTTTTTTTTTTAGTTTTTGATGCCAATGTGTTCAGAATGAAAACGTCGGAAAATTGTTATTTTAAAAAATGTCCGTATGTGTGTATGTGCATGTGTGCCAAATTTACCGAAATTTCTATAACTCAAGAACTTATTAACCAAATCTTAAAGAATTATATATAAAATAGGGGCAGAAAAAACTGAAGAATATAATAGAATTAATAAAAATTGCTAATAATAAAAGGGTTACCGATTTCTATCTAAAAAAAATTTACATGATTATTCTAATTTCCGCAAATTTTGAGATATCGAACTTTTTTATCTTAAATAAAAATTTCTTTTTATGTGTTAAATATGATTTTTATTTTTAAAATAATTGCATTACTGGAAAATGATTAAATTTCTTGCAAAACTACGTGGAAAAGTCGCAAAAATACGATCCGATCGGAACTGTTACCTTTCTTAGATAGGTGTTACAGTTTGGGCACTGGATTTTCAGAAATCAATTTTTTTCTTGTAATTGCTAGAACTATTGATATATTTGATACGGAACTGTAGAACTATTGTAAAGCGAACTAGAATAACTCCGAAGAAATAATTGATTTTCATGATTTGGTGCGTGAACTTAGCGCACCATATTTTCAAATTCGATTTTTTTGTAATTAATCATCGGAACTATTTAAAATGCTTATCTAGAACTCTAGAACTATTCAAAAGAAAGTCAGAACTCTAAAAAAACTTTTAGATTTTTAGGTATGGTATGCCAAGTTCACAGAACCGGAATTACCGATTTTTGCTTAAAAAGTTACATGTGTACCTAAGTAATACTCCTAGTAGCACAGAGACGTCTAGAAACGTCATTAAAACGTCATTTAACGTCATTGTGCTACTGGAGACATGTATTTTTATATTATAGAGTATCATTAAAAGAAGGTTGCAATGGTATTGAATTTGGCGATAATCGGTAAAAAAAATTTTTCTTTATAAAATTTTGAATTTTTTAAGAAATTTTCGTGGTTGCTCTGACTTCCGCCAATCTTGAGATATCGAACTATTTATAATTCTATTATATTCTTCAGTCTTTTCTACCCCTATTTTATATATAATTCTTTAACATTTGCTTGATTATATCTAGTTTTATACGCGATCAAAGGTCCATATGCGGGCGGCAGTGTGCAGTGGTAGAGCGCCAGACTCGTAATCTGAGAAACCAGGTTCGAGTCCACTAGAGCCATAAAGCATGGAATGTTTTTCCGATAGCTGCGCCCCTCCGTGCAAGATAGGCTCTTGTGCGAAAAAAACTGGGCTCCGTCTTTCGGAAAGAGACGTTAAGCCGTTGGTCCAAAGGGTTAAAGTGAGAGAAGAAGAATAGTATTGGTAGTAGATTGCGAACCCTGCGAGGATATGCAATAAATTACGAATTTTACAGGAAATTTTACAGGTCCATATGCGAAGTTCATATATGGACCATATAGCCTGAACTCCCAAAGTCAACATCGATTTGACATTACGTCAATTGCAAAATCCCACTTGTGCTACTAAGCTGACTTTTTTTAATTTATAAAAAGATTAAATTTAAAATTTAAAAAAGTGTGCAAATTAGAAACTTGCACATTGCTACTTCAGCATTACAGATCGCTACCATTGCTTTTATTTTATTTTGCTCATAAAGCTTTTTCTATGAGAAACCCAAACTAATAAATACTAATAATTATGCAACAAATAAAATACCAGCTTTCTCATAGAGGATCGAGCTTTGTAAGCAAAATAAAATAGAAGCAATGGTAGCGATTTGTAATGATGAGAAAGCAATGTGCAAGTTTCTAATGTGTTTAAATTAATCTTTTAATTTATCTTTAAAATGAAATTTTTCTAATAAGTCATGCTAGAACTGTTTGATTAAGAAAATAATTGTATACACTGAGAAACCCATTTGATTGGAGTAACCAAATTTTGGTTGACACAATATAAGTTATTTGTTGTTATATGAGCAAACAAATACTTTTGTTGGAAGAACAAAATAATTTTGATGCAAGAATATGTATGTGAAACCAAATATTTTGTTCAAAGAACAAAAGATATCTAATTCGGCTACAATCAAATACGAATTATTTGTTTGAACAAACAAAATAAATTGTATTGTACAAAGAAAAATAATTTATTGGGCTACGAATTAACTACGAATTGCAACTATAAGAATAATTTTTGTTTTGGACAACACGAATTTAAATAATATTTGTTAAAGGAACAAAATACTTCCAACAAAAGAAGTTAGTTTCTCTAAACAACCTTATCATTTGCAGAAATCTATTGATTTAATTCAACAAAACAAAACTCGCCAACAAACAAATTTTGGTTTTAGCAACTAATTTGGTCTCTCACTGTATAGGTTTGTATAAATCTACTGTAATATTTTTTATATCATGAAACACTGGAATACCGATTTTAATATAATTTGAATTGGAAGTACATGAAAGTACTTAATTGATCTGTCAACTATAAATTTTATTTTGCTCAAAGTTATTTAAGAAAACATGTCACAATAATATCTAAAAACTGCATATTATAGACTAATATTTCAATTGTTAAAAAAAAGTCTAAAGTCACAAACTTAAATATAAAAATTTGTTAAAAAATGTATAAATTAATGGATAAAATTAAATAAATATTATATAAAAATGTATATCGAGTTTCATGTTTTTCATGTATTTTTGTATGAGTATATTTGTATGAGTTTTATGTACTTTTTGTATGTTTTTTAAGAATAAAAATACGTACACAGAACTTCTTTTTGCGGAATCCACTTCATAATCATTATATTTTTCGGTACTTGAAATGGTAATTTAATATCTAACTTCCAAAGCACTCGTTGCTTCAATTTTGACAGAGCCAGTATAACGGCTTTAGCCTTGTCTATGCCGACACCTTTCCATTCTACGTTTGATCCTAACGATATTACGATGGCTCCGTTCTTTGCTTCGTCAAGAAATACGCGCATGTTCTGCGAGATAATAAAAATAAAAAACATTTTAATAATATACAAAAATATATATCTTAATTCCAAAATAACCAATTAAAAGTAATTGATATGTACATTTACAAAACAGATTATTTTAAGCAAAAAACAAATATCAAATTTATTTTAATAAAACTCGTACGATATTTTTTTATATATAAGTTGTCTTTTATAATTTATTAAATAAATTACAGAATTTTTAAAATATTATAGATATGTTAAAATATTATTGATTTCTTAAATTTAGCAATATATCGCGCAATATTTGTACAAGATACGTACATAAGGTCGGAACTATATATATAAATTCAAATCATGAATATCAATCAAATTCTTTTAATCTAAAAAAAGCTTGCTATTTATAGTAGGGGAGATTGGGGCAAAGTCGTCACCGGGGCAGAGTCGTCATTGCAATTATCTCGAAATCTGTATGTTGTACGAACTCACCATTAATACTGTAAACGCGGCTTATGGTGTCCACGTGACCAACAAAGTTTATTGAGGTTGTGTGCCATGTTGTAATTCTTATCGAGGCAAACGTGTTTTCGGAGGTCTCTCTCAAAAGTAAAATTGGGGTAATTGTGTACATGGAGGGGGTCACCTTGGATGACCTTGATATTTTAGAATGTTGTCAAGGTCACCCTCCTGAGTGACCTTCAGAAGGTTTTAGCGCTCGTTGTTTATTCAAAAGTTATTAACAAAAAAAATTTGAGAAATGTAACAGATATTTTGAGTATTAAAAGACATAAATGACTAATATATATGTCAAAATAGTAGTACGTTCATTAATTAGCATATTCATTAATGGGTTTATAACTTTCCAGACTTGAAAAGCCTACGCATGTACTTTGAAGGCACACTATGTGTCTAGTTTAACAATAGTGTAGCCCCCCGCAGGGTGGCGCGATGGCGGAACCTACTACCTCCACGCATACACTTTTAGGTCAGTAAAATTAGCTTGAAAAACACCGAATATCTACAAAACGGATTGAAAAACCAATTTTTTGAGGATGAGTAAAAGGTCATAGAAGATGCCCAAATTCACAAAGTTCCAACAAAATTTCCCTGTGCGTTGGCGGCCATCTTGAAAATAGGGGTAAGTTTACATATCTCGGCTTTTATTGGTCGGATTTTGTTTTGTTTTGTAGGGAAAAATATTTGCTACAACTTTTGTTTAAAAAATTGTTTAATAGCTATCAAAGAAAAAAGTTACAACAAAAAAAGTTTCGTTAATTTGAACATCTTTATTGACAATTATATTTTTCCCTATTGGTTTTATCAAAAAAATGTTTAAATAAAACTCTTGTAGAGGATTTAATTCTCTACAATTTTCATATATACGCTTTTGCGGTGACTCAACAAATACCAGAGATAGAGGGCGCCAAAGATATTTGTTGAGTCACCGCAAAAGCGAATATACGAAAATTCTAGAGAACTGAATCGTCTACACACACGTTATTTGAAAATTTTTTTGATAAAACCAACAGGGGGCAATATAATTGTCAATAAAAATGTTCAAATTGACGGCACTTTTTTGGTTGTAACTTTTTTCCTTGACAGCTATTAAAAATTGTTTCAAACAAAATGCAAATATTTTTCCCTACAAAACTAAAAAAAAATTTACCAATAGGAGCCGAGATATTCAAACTTACCCTTATTTTCAAGATAGCCGCCGACGCACAGAAAAATTTTGTTGGAACTTTGTGAATTCAAACATCTCCTATAACCCTTCTACTCACCCTCAAAAAATTAGCTTGTCAATCCGTTTTCAGACCTAATTTTACTGGCCTATTTTCACGCGAGACGAGTTGTCACATGAGTTTGTGGCGTGCTTTACGAGCTCGTTTATATACATACGTAATAAAACATTATATATTCTCTATTAATTTCTTAAATACACATATTTTATGTCATCTAGTAATACATAAAATGAGTCCCCTTAAATTTTTTTTATTGTATATCGCCACAAATATTTACACCGATGATCGACTAACTTATCTTGTTTAATATCACCTTTACTTAAACGAGCTCGTAAAGCACGCCACGAACCCATGTGACCGCAGGGGAGCAGAACCTACTGCTTCCATGCATACACTTTCCACGCGAAACAAGGTGCCACATTTCTCAAATTTTTTTTTGTTAATAACTTTTGAATAAACAACGAGCGCGGGCTGAAACCTTCTGAAGGCACACTCAGGAGGGTGACAATATACTAAAATATCAAGGTCATCCAAGATGACCCCCTCCATGTACACAATTACCGTAAAATTTTTTGCGCGTCAAAAATTTGTAATATCTTAAATATTATTGTGTTCGAATCTCAAAGTAAGTAATTCTAAAGAGTAATGCATGCTGAACACGAATCCAGTAAAGTTTTTTTATTTTTATTGATTTCTAATATTTTATGCGCGATTAAACTTGAAACTTGTGTCCGGGGCAAAGTCGACAGCAAGCCGTATTATGGAGGCTTCCGGCGAAAATTAAAATCAAAGAAGCAGCAGTGGTCGGATTCCGACGAGGACTTTGATAATATGTGCTGCGTGTGCTCAGAAATGACAGAATAGAGTTGACGAGAAACGTGCGAGCGTAGGCCACATAAGTGTGTGCGCTTTTCTTGTAGTTATTTCCGCCATCGTGTTTTTAATTAATGTTTCCATTTTTCTATTAAAAAATAATTAATAAAATGTATTCTATCATTTTTCATATAATTGGAATTATGAATTTTTATTTAAAATTCAATCCGAGACCGGAGTGACGACTCCGCCCCGGTAATTTTGACATTTCAATTTTTGCACGTTTGTCGTTTTCATTTTGTACCAATTAAACAAAGCGACGAAGACCAAAAATGTCCGTATAAATTTTGTATTCAAGGGTTCACTCTTTAACGGTATACCATATTTTACTAAAATTATTTGTTATGTTGTTAAAAATCGACATAAAAAGAATAGTAACGACTTCGCCCCGGTCTTCTTTATTTCTTTATTATTCTGAATAGAAGAATTTAAATATCTATGCAATATAAGAAAAAGAATGATAAGTCCGATTTTGAGAAATTTTGGGTTTTGAGAGAATAAAATATTTTAATCACAACTTCATTAACATTCTATTTCCATAGTAGGTACGCACAGTTTGCTTGCTAATATTTTTATTGCAATTTTTGTTAAATTGTGTTTCTCAAATAAAAAGAACAGTTACTTTTACCTCGGGATACGTTACGACTTTGTCTCCAGGAATCGGTTTTATGGCCTGGACATGAAATCCTCCAATTTCCAAAGCATTCGGCGGCAATGGGATTGCAGGCTCAAACGCAGAGTGACTATTAATTAGTACTATATTAATTCTGTCTTTTTCTATTTCATGTAGTGGCCTGATTGCATGGCCTACGTATTCTTCAGCAAGCTGTTGAACGATAGGTAAGAAATAATAGTATCGTATGAAATCGTCGGCGATAAAATACACAGTATTCCACGTCTTCTGCCATAGGCCTACAGGTTTTGCAATACCCGAACTTGTATAAGGTCGAACAGTCGGATAACTTGAACCGGTATAATCCTTAATCCAAGGTGCAGTGCCGGACGGAATAAGGCCCACTACGGGTGGCTTACCCTTAGCAACCTGTAAAGAATACTTACAGAGTGACAAAAGCAAAGTTGCTAAAAATAAATAACTGCTATATCGTAATAAATAAAATTAATCAAATTAATCAAAGGTTATTCTGCAGAAGAAACCCACCATTCTTATTAACACATTGTACAAAATACAATAAAAACAACAAATACACATAAATATTAAAAATATAACTCTGTATACTATTTTAAAAAACGATTATTTTGGCTGGTTGCATAACTCAATATATATATGTTTGAAAAATATGGGCACCCATATAACAGAAATTTATTTCAAATTCTCTGAAGACATAGCTACGATTAAAAAATGTCTTAATTATTCTGCAAGTTATTCAGATAATAATCATCACCTCAAAAATATACTGTTGCATCGAAATCTATTGTAATCTACGCTGCAAAAATCTGTTTTTTAAATAGTCATCAGCAGTACATTGTTTCAGTTGAGTACGAAAATCAATCAATAAGTGAAGATTGATCACTCGAACAACGCGCGTACAAGCTAACATTTATTAATAATAGCAGAGATTTATAAAAACCATCGTTTTTTGTAAAAGTGTTGCGATTAATTCTGCAACTATTATATTTCCTTGTATCTTACTTTTATTTAAAATTGATATTATTGCAATAATATTTTCAACATTGTTATTTGTAAGAGTGCGAAAGTGCCGAGCTTCTTATACAGTTTGCGGAGGATCTCTAGACATTCTACCACTAAACAACTGCAATTAATCCTTGGCCCATTTTTATTTTTACAAGTTTACATATTCCTTTTTCGTTACGTACTAATAAAAATAACTGTTTTTTTCTACACTGTATAGTGTTTAATTCATTTCATTCTGTATATTTATATTACAAAATATATAGTTTTATAACTTCGATTACTCTTTATATGTACAGAGAAAGTGCCACGAGACTTCCTCACGTTCTGACATTTTCTCGTATTTTATGTATTACAAAAGCCTAATAAGAATCACCATTTGTTTCAGTATCTATCCATTTTCAAGGAATAAATGTAAATAATTATTATTATCGCTGACTTAAATAACGATTGCACATTTTCAAGGCTGTGCAGTATTACGCAAACAAAATTTTACTTACAAAGTTGCTCAGTCGCTTGCAATTTAAAAATGTGCTGAATAATTACAAATTACTACATATACATCACTTATCTTTACCTCCCACAATCCATAGAAACAATGATGTAGAGTAATGTCCGACACTATAACGTCAAACTCGACAGTTTTGACCATTTCTAAAAGATTTCTCGCTGCTTTGGTTTTTGTCATTTTGTCACATTTTATGATGCCCCACAGATATGTAGCGTATGACATATAAAATTCGTTGAAATGTGCCCACTGATCAGGGCTATAATCCATGTATTCAGGAGAAGGAGCCATCGCATCTTCAAAAATCTGAAAATATTCATATAAATTTGGAAAGTATTTTTTATCCTCTTCGAAGGCTGGGTTCCACTTATCGCTCACAACGCTAGCGAGCATTATTTCGTCCTTGTTTAACATTTGACAAACAACAAGGATGAAATGATTCCACGAGCGTTGCGAGCGATAAGTGGAACGCACCCTAAAAAGGACATGTCATCGATATTTGAATCTATCCAAATATTGTTGTTGCTTTTCCGCGATTGGTTTTCTTGTTGAGCTTACTTCATGAGCGGCTGCATGGCATATTTTGACAGTTGTGTGGTTAATAGTGTAAAGGCCCCCGCACAATCAAAAATATCTTTCTCATAGAAGAAGCTTTGTGACGGTGAAAAAATTTTTTTTTTTGAGATTTTGATGGAAATAGGTTTAGAATGTTCCAAAATGTCGAGAAATCAAATTAGTAAAAAATGTCAGAAAATATGTACGCGCGCGCGCGTGTGTGTGTGTGTGTGTTTGCGTGTGTGTGCGTGTGCGTGTGCGTGTGCGTGTGCGTGTGCGTGTGCGTGTGCGTGTGCGTGTGTGTGTGTGTGTGTGTGTGTGTGTGTGTACTGATTTTTTGTACGCGCATCTACTTCTACAATTTTTTAGATACCGGGTTGAAATTTTGCACACAATTAAAGTATCATAGAAAGTATGTTCTCCTCTAATTTTATTAATATCTGTCGACCGGTATGGATTTTAAGGGGATTTTCATTTTTTAGAAAAGTGTGTTTTACGCTGTACTTTCTCAATATTTGAGATATCGATCTGTTTCTAATTTTATTATATTCTTCAGTTTTTTCTACCCCTGTTTCATATATAATTCTTTCAAATTTGGTTGATTAAATCCATTTTTATATGCGATTAAATGTCAATAATTTTTTTTGAAATATGTGTGGCAAATTTTGAAATATCGGGCTATTTATAGTTTTATTATATTCTTGGTTTAATTGTCTAGATCGAATCATGATCTAAGATCGGTATGATTCAAGCAATTAAGTCAAGATCGGGGCATGATTCAGACAATTAAGGGGGGAATCTACTTTAGCCGGGTGAAAAATGATGATTTTTTGGGAATTTTTTTCAAGGAAACTATAAGTGATATTGGATTAATTTTTTTTGTAATATGGAAAGGCATTCTTAAAGAAAAAAAATTTTTTTTTTTTTTTCAGTTACGTTAATTTTTATTATATTGACGGACAATTTTGTAGCGCAATGTTAGTAGCGCAACGGTTAGCTGCGTACAGTGTAGCAACGAGCTGAGTAATCTGAAAGCAAAAAATAAAAATTTTCTTTAAAGCTTAATCAATTACGCAGGGATTGAACCTATTTGCAAATAAAAATGTGAAAAATTGAAGAAATTACAGCAATCGTAAGAAAAGTGACATTTTTTTTATCAAAAAATCGATCTTCTGTTGTTGATAGAAATGTTATAAATAAATAATAAAATGTAAACGTAGGTTCAATCCCTGGAGAAATTTGTAAGGAATCGAATCATGCTTGGCGAAAGTTATTTGAGTGATTACTTTTTGAGTTATCTTGTACGCAAAGTTGGAAAAAGTGGTTTTGAGAAAAACGCGTTTAAAGTTTATTTTTTTGCTCTTAGCCAAAAAAGCACGTATAAATGCATGCAAATTTCAGTATAAAGGTTTTTGAGGTCGCTGAATCCGAATCTGATATCAGATTTTTAAAATTCAAAATGGCGGATTTAATATGGCGGATCAAAAGAGTCTCAGTTGAATAAAGAAATGAAGTTTTGGATGTTTTCATGATACTTACAGTTAAATAACGCTCAATCCGCTATTCCGGGTCCATCTAAAATGCCTTCCTCTTCCTCGTAGAACTCCTGTTCGGCAGTTTTCGTCATTTTCTTGGCTGTTCGAGCTTCTTTAGTGCTTTCCAAGGTACACACACAAACACACACACACACACACACAAAAACACTCTAACACATAAATATAAACACTATAGGGTCAAATAAAATAGTTGTAGGTCTAGCAAGTATATAGGATTCTTTCGTTCCCGCAATAATAGAACCGAGAACGCTGCGAAGCCAGTATTAGCGTACGTCTGCTGTATCGATCCTCCGCGCGCCTTACTAAAAAGAGCTGTAGTTTCGTCAATTTTACGAGTTTGACGATAATACTTTGGGAATATATTATTGAAACCTTATACTATATATTTATGCAAAAAAAAATATCGATTTTTTTTACCCATCAAAGTAGATTCCCCCCTTAAGCCAAGATCGGGGCATGATCTAAACAATTATTCCAAGATCGGGACATGATCCGGACAATTAAGCCAAGATCAAGGGACGATCCAGACAATTAAGCCAAGATCGGGACATAATCCAGACAATTAAGCCAAGATTTGGGCATGATCCAGACAATTAAGCCAAGATCGGGGCATAATTTGAGTCAAGATCGGGAGACGAACCAGACAATTAAGCCCATGATCTAGACAATTAAGCCATGATCGGGGCATGATCCGTACTTATAATACCAAATTTATAGCAGTCACTAATTTTGGTATTAGAAAAATAATTTCGGAAGCAATTACATCACATCATCTCAAAGATATGTTAAATTTAAAAAGAACAGAATTTAAGTTTTACTTAATTAAAGAATAACTACAACTTTATCTAATACTTGTCAAGTTTCATAAATTCTTAACACATTTATACTTCTTTGAATTTTCAAGACGCTTGTCGTCACTTTAGCAGCAACAGTGTTTTGTTTACAGATTTTGATCGAATAAATTCATTGAACGTTCTTAATAAAAAGACAGGATGCCTCAAGAACTAATCAACCAAATCTTAAAGAATTATATATGAAATACGGATAGAAAAGACTTAAAAATATAATAAAATTAAAAAATTGCGCCAAACCAGTCGCAATTTATTCAATTCTAAATCTGTTATATTCTTCAGTCTTATATTCTCAAGTCCATATATGAACCATGTAGCCTGAACTACTCAAGTCAACATCGATTTAACATTGTGTCGATTGTAGAACTTTATTTGTGCCACTAATTTATTATTTCATAATTTTAGTAATAAAATCATTTTTTATATATTTAAAAAATTATTTTAAAGTAGAAATAAAAAACTAATGTATAAATAAAAAAATGGAACGAAATGGAAAAATTAAGAAATATCCGCAATTAGTAGGGATCATTTTAATAAAAACATTAATTATTTAAGTGATTTTGTAAAAGTATACCAAATATTAGTCGCAATAAAGCTTATCACAATAAAAAAGTGTGCAAGTAGAAACTTGCACATTACTTCCTCATAATTTTTAAGTATACTAATTATAAATTTGAACATTATTTTCTCACAATTTTCAATTATGCAAATTATAAATTTGCACGTTGCTTAATTAACATTTTATTTTGTACATAAAACTTCCTCTGTGAGGATGCCAAATTAAGAATATCTACTAATAATTATACATAAAAAATAGGCTTCCTCATAAGAGAAAGCTTTATGAGCGAAATAAAATGTTGATTAAGCAACGTGCAAATTTATAATTTGCATACTTGAAAATTGTGAGAAAGTAATGTTCAAATTTATAATGTACACTTAAAAATTTGTACACTTAAAAATTATAAGAAAGCAATGTGCAAGTTTCTACTTGCACACTATTTATTTTACAAATAGGTAATAATCAATTTATATTCCGAATGTCTTCGAGTCTTGTAATATCTACTTACGGCGTACGTCAAGTTTTCCGCTAGTTTACTCTCGATCTTAGTCTCGAGTATGCTCACTGTGTGTACATGATGGCCTTCGCGAAGCAGTCCTTTAACCAAATGCTCCGTCCAGATGTGATGACTGATCGATGGGAGAGCTTGTATCAGTAAAACTGACAATGGTTTCGATACTGTCACAAAACCAATTAAAATACAACAAACAAAGTAAAACAATAAGATAAAAAAACTTGACATTGTTGAAACAAATGCGCAAAACTCTTATGTGATCTTTCGATCAGATCCTAAGACCGAAAGCAACAGTATGTCTTCCTAATGTGCATTCTAAGTATTGTGCTTCTCCTTATTCCTTACTTCAGGCTAATAGCTTCAAGCTGATAAAAGCTTATCGTTACTAGTATGTAACAGACTGATAATATTGACATGACGATATTTTCTTACAAGGAAACAAATCTAAAAGTTTTGTTCTTTTCTCGATTTTAATTATTTTTGGATATATTGTTATAATATTGGGTAATTATGCAGTTTAGGGGAAGCACCTCCGATGACCTTGACCTTGACATATGTTGTCAAGGTCACCCTCCTGAGTGACCTTCAGAAGGTTTTAGCCGTCGCTCGTTTTTTATTAAAAAGTTATTAACAAAAAAAAGTTTGGCGACCTCACCGATTTTAATGACCTTGATATATGTTGTCAAGGTCATGACCCCGAGTGACCTTCAGAAGGTTTTAGCCATCGCTCGCTATTCGTTAAAAAATTATTAACAAAAAAGTTTGGAAAATATAGTATATATAAGTGCGTATATAGGTTAGTTGACGCGCTTTAAACACTTAAATACTTTTAAAGCGCGTCAACTAACCTATGTAGGTTAGTGATTAACGATTTACTGCTTTAAATGTTGTGTTTTGGTAAAGCAGCGACTTTTTCGCAAAATAAA